TTGTTAATCTTTGTTCTTATTAAAATGAATAAAAATTAGCCAAGCTCCAACAACAAAGGTACCAATATCAGCAATGAAAGGAAAGAATCACTATAGAACCTGTAGCAAATAAGTGAAAAATAAGAGAACAGGAGAACAATTTTAGGGCAATAAATACAGTACAAAAAAGACAACTTTTTAAGAGACAAAAAATAGCAAAATGATAATAATGGAAAATTTGAGTGGTCCTACCTATTAAAGGAACTAAATTTGAAATTAAAAATTCCCCACACAAAGAAAATTCTAAACCAGATATAAATTATATATAGATTGTTGGTTATTTCTAATTTGATATTACTGGTACATTTTCCTCACAAAGTAGTCATATGAATTGGGCATAGTACTCCATAAGATTGAAGTATTTACTTTTAAACTGAGATGAAACCAAAGCTTAAGAGACATCACAGAGAGAAAGCCTCACTCTCTAAAATTATTTACAGGCTAAGTGTGGTGGTACATACCTGTAGCACTCTGACGCTTGAGTAAGGAGGTTTGCCATGAGTTCTAGGGCAGCCTAGATACACACTAGGTTCAAGGCTGGTCTGCACTACATAGTAAGACCCTATCTTAAGACACCAAAATAAACAAATAAGCAAACACATAAATAAATAAAACAAATATACAACAGAGATAGAGATATCTATTCCAACTGAATGGCAATCTTTCATACAAAGACATGAGAATTAAGAGAAAAGAAGACAATAAAATGACAAGAAAATTCCTAATTCCTTAGTCTCTTCCCACAGATGTTCAAGTGGACAGATTTCAGACAAAGTATTTTTAAATACTGACAGTTAAAGATGATGAAGATCAAAAAGGACACATATAAGCACCTCAGTGAATCTTTCAGTAAAACAAGCAGTGATCTCCAAGAAGATCACAGGTACAACTGAAGTAATGAAGAGAGGACATGAAAGACCACTTCAACAAAGAAAAGTTAAGAAAAAAAACAAAACAGGAATCCCTGAAATGAAGTGCTCAGTTAGTCTAACAAAATCTCAGATGAAGATCTCAGCAGAGAGCAAGATGAATCAGAAGAAAAATTAAAATTAGCAAGGCTCAAGCAAACAAACAAACAAAATAATGTAATCAATACTCAAACAGTAATAATTACTGCTTAGGCAGACACAGGGACTGGGATAGATTCCTAGTTTGCTGTAGGGGCCCTGCCCCCAGGGCATACCGAGATGGCAATTGAGACTGGGTGTGGTGGCAGGAGCCCATAATCACAGTGTTTGGGAAGCTGAAAACAGGAGGCTCACTATGTATCTGCTCTGTGTAGTTAGATCTTGTAGACTCCATACTAAATTTTTTTTTAAAGTAATAATTAAAAAATAATGAGAAAAATGAAAAAGATTATTGAGGAGCTCCTAGTCACCTCTAAAAGAACAAATTTAAGAATTATCAGATTGAAAAAAGATATAATACAGGTTAAAGTCACAGAAAACCTAATCACTAAAATTATAGCACAAAATCTCTACAATATGGGAAATGAGATAGATAACCAGATACTAAAGACACTCGGGGCCACAAATAGATGCTATCTGAAAAGTACCTTTGGGGTTGGCCAGATGGCTCAGTGGATTAACGGGCCTGCTTAGACAGGCTCAGGGAACAGGGTTTGATCCCCAGCAAGCCATGCCTGCCCCAGGGGTGCACTGAGACAGCGACTGAGACTGGGTATTGTGGCATGCACCTGTAGTCCCAGTACTTGGGAGGCTGAAATCAGGAGGATCACTATGAGTCTGATCTGTGTAGTGAGACACTATAGACTATGTACAAAAAATACAAAAAAAAAAAAAAAAGGCAGAATAAGTACCTCTGCATAAAATAACTAATTGTCCAAAATTTAGAACAACGAATGTTAGAAGCTTTTGCAAGGAAATGCAAAATTACTTAGAATAGCAGGCCAATCAGATTAAGAGCAGATTCTCAACAGAAACTATAAAGGCCAGAAGGTTTTGGAGAGATGAATTTCAAGTCCTTAAAGAAAATAATGGCAATGTAGATTGCTATATTCTGCAAGCCTAATCTTCAAAGTTGAAAGGAAAGAAAGGATTTCTTGAAATAAGGAAAAACTGAAGAAATCCATGACCACTACACCAACACTGTAGAATGTACTTAAGTTAATTCTAAACAAAGAGGAAAAGGCCTGAACCACAAGAACAAAGGAAAGAATAAAACTATTAAAATAGACAAATGAATGTGAATCAGTATGAATCAAAGACTAGCAAAGTAAAAGTATGATTCAAATGAATCTTTATATATTAAATATATCTTTCAATAATGACAAATAATGAAATAGTTTTAACCTTGCAATAAAAAGATAACAATTAGCATATTGAATGACAAACACAAACCAAATACACTGCCTGCAAGAAAAACACCTCATCCATAAAAATATACACACACTGAAAGTAAAAAGATAGAAAAATTTATGCCGGGGCTGGGGATACAGCTAGGGATACTGTCAGGCAAGCACAAGTTCTTGAGTTGGATCCCTGGTACTACAAACAAACAAACAAACAAAGCAAAACAAAACAAAAAAAGGAAAGGAAGGAAGAAAGAACGAAAAAAAAAAAAAAACAAAAAGAGTATGCCAAGCAAATGGAGTCAAAACCAAGCAGGAGTAGTTATACTTAAACCCCACAAGGTAAATCTCCCACTAAATCAGCAAGAAGAGTAAAAAAAATGTACTATATACTGATGAAAAAAATAATTCACCAAGAAGAGATTATAAGTGTAAATATATGTTCACCAAACATTAGCACAGTTGATTACATAAAACAAACACAACTTAAGAATCTGATTGACCTGAACAAACTTATTGTGAGTTTTTTATTACCTCACTTTTACAAATATAAAGGTCACCAGGAAAAAAAAATGAGTCAAAATTCCAAATTCATTCCACAAAGATCTGCCCTAATAGTAAAACCAGATAAGTGCATACATACACACACACACACACAGACACACACACACACACACACACAAGTGCAGGCATGTTCACACACACAAATTATATCTCAATATTACTGAACACAGACAAAAATCTTTGTAAGATTTTTGCAAACAAAGAGAAAATGGCCACAAAGGGGATAACAGCAAGGGTAGGTAGCTCCATCTCATATGGGAAGATAAATGAAGTTGAAACCTAGTAAGACTGAAATTCCATATTTGAGGGTATAACAGGGGAAACTGGACCATTCCTATATTACTGGAATGGATATGGTGAAATGAGACATATTCAGACCCAGAAGATAGAGATGCCAAAACAAGAGCAAGGTAGAAAGAACTGCCCTACACACATCTACCCATATATTCTGAATCAGCACCAGGCCCCTGGAAGCAAAAGGAGACACCCATACCTGGTAAATAACAGTGCTGCACCACCAGTAAGTGGTGGGGCTATGGGGAGAGAGATTTGCCTGAAAAGTGGGAACAATGCTATTATTTATTTCCACATACAGTGGGAGTGCCTCACGTGAAAAATTCAGCACCCTACCCATGATTCCCAGCAGGTTCCCATTGGGAGTCCACAGAATCTCCTAGCTGGAAACTGTGGAAGACACAAAAACTGATTCCACAACAAATATGTAAACCAGAGTCCAGTCTGTGAGATCTGTGAGGAGTCTCTGGAATCCAGCTTACAGAGGAACTTGGTGGAACCAGTCATCATCCCCTAACTGTTTCTCCCTGACACAGTCTGAGGCTCCGCCATAAACCAGTACTGGAAAAGGGGGAGCTCAGCAGAGAAGGAAGGAATCACTAAGTTCTGCAGCAGGGCTGAGACAGATACCTTGAGGGGGAGACGGTGAATCATGACTGGTCCAGTGATTTGGGGGACCATATATTAGGCAAGGAAAGCCTGTGGAAGGAAGAACTAGACCTGTCTATGATTGTGACCAACTCAAGTTGATTAAGACAATCAGATTTGTGGAGAACTACAGTGGGTCACACCTGGAGCACAGTTCTTAACCAGGACAGGTGTCCAGAGAGAGGGAACAACAGCTCTTGGCTTCACGCAGACAACTGTCTGGCCCACAAGGTGGATGCCCTGCATACCTGAAATCAGACTGTAATGCCAATTTAGAACTATATGATTTCTCTGGATTAATGCTATAACAATGGAAAGAAGACTTTAACTTTAATCTTATTTTTATTTTGATTATTGTATTCCTGCTTCTTTGTTTGATTTTGGTCATCTTGTGGGAAGGGGCTGTACCAGGAATGAAACTCAGGATTTTTCACTGCCAGGTAGGTGCTGTGCTGCTGAGCAATATCCCCAGCTGATTTTAGTTATCGTGATTTCTCCTTTTTGTATTTTACTTCTATTCATCATTCTTTTTTTTGGTTGTTGTCATTACTTCTCTAATGGTATTGTTTGGTTATTATACTTTAATTTTCAAGGTTTCCCCTTACACTTAGCCCTTTGTTTAATGTTTCTTCTATTTTTGACTTTCTTCTTTTCCTATTCTTTTTTCTCCTCATTTCTATCTTATCTTACCTCTTTACTTCCCCCAAACACTGATCTCGTAGGATAACTATAACAAATGCATTAGAGGATAGGGGAGATAGCTCAGTGGTCTAAGTGACTACCTGGCAAGCAGAAAGACCCAGGTACCATGTTTGATACTGGTACCACATGCCATGCTACCCAGAACCCTAGGCTTGCCATGCTGGCCACTGAAACCGGGTGGGGTGGCCCATACCTGTAATGCACAGTGCTGTGGAGGCTAAAACAGGAGGATCACTATGAGT